GTTTGGGTAGGAGCCCTTAGGTTGGTTGTAGGTAGATTCGTTGGGGCGAGGAAGCTGCCAGTGTGGGTAGATAAATCTACAATATTATATATAAATATAAGTTTGAGTAAAAGCGAGCCTGTGCGGGTGGGGTGGCATTTTTTGTCTAATTGTCGTCATGGCAGCTGTTATGTGGGGCCAATGTCGCGGTTTAGCTTTGGCGTAGAGTTCGTCGGGTCGTCGAGCCGTCAGTGACCCCCTGTGACTTCTTCCAACCATCAGTTCGGCCAAGCCCCTTTCACTCTGGTACAAACTGAAGGTTTGGAAAGTCCTTTCGGAAAGCCCCGGTCAAAACCAGAAAGTTCTCAATATCGAATTGAATTACCAATTATTATGTCACATGTCTTTTCTTTTCAATATGGTACTTGACTCCCAAACCCAGCCCCGCAATGTTGCCAGCCCTCGCAGGCTTACCGCCCCTGCTTTGGCTTCAGCTGCGAGCGCTGCTGCAACGCCGTCCTTGGGCCGAATGGGCGGAGTTCCGGTGCCGTTCGAGCGAGTGCAGCGAGTGGCCACCGGTGGCGCGGCCGTTCGGAGTTCGGAGTTCGGACTCGGCTCAGGTGAAGCCTGAAGAGTCGCAGTGCAGAGTCTGCAGCCTTTCCGTGGACTGAGCAGCTGAAAGGGAGAGTTTCGCATTTTGATTGGAGTGCCGCCTGAAGGGAAGAACAACGGAAGTGGATGAACAGCTTCGCTGAAGAACCACCGTTGGTTTTCTGATCGGAAGCACTTCACGAGCTGGAAGAAGTGACACAAACCATCGAGGATTCCCGAGACCCATCGATTCAACTGGTGGGCAAACGTGAGATTTTAGCCGGTTTGTCATGGACTCGGTGGAGGAAATGCCCTTTCCCAGACACTCCAGTGAATAGCTTTTCAACTCAGCAGTCTGGTCTTCTTGAGATTTTTCGAGTCTCCATGTTGAGATGAGTTACGGCGGTGCCCAGTCGGAATGGAACGTGGAGGACGGAGCTTGTGACTATCCCTGTGCCGGCCGTTGAATGCTGGGTCATCCAACTCTGCATGACAACTATACATAGAGTCAAGTTCCACTTTAATGGTCAAGATTGGATCCTTTTGAACCACGAGTCGCTCCCAACATGTTCGATGGTTTTCGCATGTTTCGCTCCGTCCAACAAGTGACACACGTAGAGGCTCAAAATCAACCGGCATGATTACTTACAACAAATTTACCTACCATAATTCTACCGTGCAACTCAGTGCAACTCCATTGGCTAGCCGTAGCGTTTCTTTTCATCAGCTCTAGGGCTTGTTTTTTCTCTTTATATCTCTCTATCATAGGGGGAGAAAGTACAAAAGTGACAGACCTATGAATTGGCACAAAAGTGACAGACCTATGAATTGGCCCTAAAATAGGGCTCGAAGTATTATGTATGAGATACATCAGGCTTCGATTAGTGCTTCAGCATTCTGAGTCACTCGTTTTGCCTTGTTTTCAACGGGGTACCAAAGATGCCGTGTTTGAACACCAAAGAGAACTGCCTGAACTGCCTGTGTTTTTTCATGAAGCCCAAGCACTGGGGACCCCACGTGATCGACCCATCAAACGAGGATCGCCGTATGTGCGTGGTTTCACCACCGATCGAGCGGCACGTGATCGATGCAGGGAGTTCCATGTGATGGTTTTTAATCCCTTACATGACTGGATGTTCACCCATGTGAACCACCGGAACACCCCTTGAAACAAGTTCGGTGCCCAGCTCGGAACATATGGAACTGTGTGTGTTTCACCTTTGCCCATCCCGGGACCCGGGAATCACGGAAGGGGTCATGACCCATCAGCCATTGTGGGAACCGTTTCCGGAATCACTCCGAGGTGAATCATTTCAGGGGTCACGGCAATCTGCGAGGATCTTCAGGGGAAGTTGTCCTGACCTGGAATCCCTCGAAGAAGAGGTTGTTCCTCCTGGCATTTCGGCGAGGCATGGGGAAAAAAACATGTTTGATCAGCAAATCACTGCTGAAGGCTTCCACGCAGTGTGCGAGCTGTTTCGATACAAGGATCCTCAATCGTGCCATGTAGTCTGCCGTGCTACACCTGTGAGGGAGGGCACGCAAATGCAGGGCTACTTCGACCTGATTTTGCTGGTGTCAGCATGTGCTTGACCGTCGACCCTCGTTCTGTAACTTGCCTGGCTCATTTAGGGTCATGTATTTCGGCATGCTGTTCCGAACTTCACTTCAAGGGCCTGACAGAAGCCGGATGGATCTGCAACCACCCTGCAAAAGAAAGCTGGTTGGGTTATAAACTGATCCCATTAGGACTGAAGGACTCACAGGCAGCCTGGAGGGGCCACCGGGGATGGAAGAGAAGTCGCCCACCGGCCACCCAGATTGAAAAGACATGATATGTTTCGATGTTTGGAATCTGCATCACAACATCCGGTCCACTTCGATCTTTCCTTTTGTGCAAGACTGCCAAACCGTACCCTATGTGACTAAACACAATTAATGTTTGGGACCGACAGCCCAGGTGGTCGGGTACGTCTTTCGCTCCCGGCTTTTCCGACAGAAACACCCGATGGTCCTGGTCCTTCATTCGGGTACGAGAAGAATGAGAAGAGATCACATGCCATGACCGAATACAGAGGATTGGTGATGTGTTGTTGTTCGACCCTGCGTGCCCTCTGCTGTGCCAGATGAACTGTCGCGGTCCCGACGTGATGGCGGCACTCATCTGCTTCTGCGTTGAGCCCTAAAGGGAGAGAGGCAGACGAAGAAAAAGCCAATGGCTTTGGCATTCAATGATGTGGAATGCAATCCACAGAACCTTAAGAAACACTCTCTCTTTCTCTCTCTTTGTGGACTCCTCTCTTCTATCGCTGTGGGGAATGGATTCTCCGAGGCCCTGAAGCAATGAGAAACGTTGGAGCCAGGAGTCTCGGGCCTTTCCTCTACACTTGCCCGCAGTCGGAGCCTGCGGGGTGCGTCATCGGCGATGACCTCATTCTGCCACCTTCCGGGCGTTGAACATGTGTCGTTGGCGCAGGAGGACATGAACATGGAGGAAGTGTGCAGAATGCACATGACTGTGGAGTGGACTATGTCAAGCTGATGTCCATAGACAATTATATGATATTAAATGTATAGTTCACCTCCCAAGCTCATGATGTTCATTAACAAAGTAGTCATCGCCAGACCAATGACTTCTGGCTTTAGCTTCTGACCCCTACCCACCCATCCATCCTTCGCCCCACCCACCCAACAAACCACCCGCGGACAAACAAGCTGTAAACTAGCCGGTTGGAAGCCGGCAGAGCCGCGGGTATTATGATATAATATAGCAGCAATCATAGACATGTGTCTTTTTGGCAGCTGCAGAAAGGGAGCTTGGAACAAGCCCTGGGCGAATGGAAGTGAACATAATATAACATAAATGATGAACCTCACAAACATCCGCTTCATTGTGGGAGATGGAGTGAGGAAGGCTAGTTAGTAGGCTAGTTGGCTGTCCAGTCAAACTGGAAAAAATGATCTCCGATTCGCCTGGCGCATGTTTGGACGTTTGATGAGCAGATTCCGATCCTTTCCAACCAATTCTGCCATGGCACTTAGCCGGCTTCACCTCGCTCGGGTTCTTCTGGCGCGTTTGGCAGCATCATGAGCTTAATGGAGGAGTCTCCGCGTTCTTTTCGCGTGGAACAATTGGAACAGCTTTCCATCAAGTTAGCTATAGATAAACGCTTTAAAGTTGGTTTCTGTAAAGACTGAGTTTGAGGCTTGAGGGGAAAAGACTGGTCACCCGTGGGCATCATCTGGGGCCTTTCCTCAGGAAAGGAAAGGGACTCAGTTCATCTCTTGAAGCCTAACATCCAGCATCCAGCTGTGTCCAATGAATAGGAGTTTGACAGTTTGACTCAAGGTGAGGGGGGTTCCAAAACTTGTTCCTGGAGTAGAAGCTAGACTTGGTGGAAAGGAAGACCCCATAGCAAGTACAACACTGTGGACATCGCAGGATTATATAATATATAATATATTATGTCAATCCCCTACTTTTACTGCCGCAGGAACATTTTCCTTCAGTCGTCTTTTCAGCCCCAAACAAAATGTGTATTGACGGCCAAACAGCTCCACCTCCAGGCCTCAGCTCGGTTCTCATGTTGGCATTGCTATATATTGGGTTGGAGGCCGCTTTTAGGTTGGAGGCCATCGCTATTGTCGACATGTCACCCAAATCCATCCGACGAGGAAGGCCCTGTTGTACGCCGTGTCGACGAGCTGCTCAGACGAGCTGTGTCTAAGATCGAGCTGGCTCAAAAGGACCCCTTTTCCCCCTAGGTGTTTGCTCTGTTTTTTGCTGTAAACGGGCTCAAAGGATGGCCAGATTGAATACAGGCATATCATGACATGTTTAATCATTACTGTACCTATCTCTTTATAAATATACATAACTATATATAATACATTTATCTACTAGTTTTAGTTTAATGATCATTTTGGAGTGTTCGGTGTTCTAGTACCACTTTGTGGGAGCATCTGGAACAGGCAGTGTTGTTCTCTATTGACATATTCCAGCAGTTGCCATGGATGCTGCAATTTGAGCCCTCGTGTTCAACTGGAAAAGTTTCCCTCCTGTGTAGTTACGAAGGTCCTCTGGAGGATTTGAAAGCATTCTTGAACACGCTCACGAAAGACAGCACCTCTTGAGTACTGAGGTATAGATTCTTTCCCCGTATTTTACCTCCCAATTCTTCTTGAAAATTCGTCCACGCCTTGAAGTCAGTCCGCTACTTGAAGTAAGTCCTGAAGATTGGCCCAAGATTTCCAGCCCAAGAAGTTCTCCAGCACCAATCCTGGCCCTAAAGATTCGGTATACTAGGAACAAGAAGCTACTAGGGGCTCCTGGCATCGCTACTAGGA